GCAATTGTAGTATCAGGCTGCAACATAACAAAACTGAAAAAAGTGAAGGGGGTCTGAATACTTCCCGAATGCACTGTATTTTTCACTTCCTCTCTTATTTGTCCTCAAGGTTTTTTTTACAAGTTAAATTATTAGAACTTGGTTCATAAGATTTCAGTTCAGTTAATTATTGGTTAGAGAGGTGATGTCTGGATGCCTATATGGATATATAAACCACTGCTTTAAGTTGGTTTATAATAAAGAAGACTGCTGTGCACCCCAAAGGAATTTATTAGATCAATTCTTTTTAACACAGAAAAAAAAGGTGAAACAATGTTGAAACTGGTCATTATAACCTCTGTTGGTCCCTAAGTTTTAATTTATAGATGCTCATCTTTTAAAAGCAGCAAGTGGAGTAAATTAATTCATTTGGAAATTCTTAAAAGAGTTATTATTTGGCGCGTAAACTACTTTGCTCAAACGTAGCTATTTTGGAACAAATATTACAAAGCAACATTAGCATTTGTGTTTCTTACTGTTACTTCGAATGAACACTTGTTCACTTGTTTGTTTAGTTTGACATGATTTTTATGCAAAACATTTATATTAAAATGCTGCTGCTTTATTAACTATAAACTTTATTTATTATATATTTCTGTGTCCGCTTAATGTTTATTTATTTAAGGTGTTTATAGTCTCTCTTTCTCTGAGAAGTTACCAGATGAAATTTAAAATCCTGTAGGTTCTGTTGATTTTAAGATATGTCCCAGTAACCTCTTACAGCCAAATCCATAAGCAACTGAACATTCTTCATACTGCCTCTTTTCTGCTATAGAAGCACTTTCACTTACAAATTTCAGCAGAACCTTATTAATAAAAATATCTGCTAAACTTAATTTCCAACTATGATTGGAGTGATGATTTTTATATGGGACCATGAACAAGCAGTAGTTTTCATTGAAGCAGGCAACTGCAGACGAAAAGCCACTGGGCTACTTTAAACATGGCCGCTGGTTGGCAATCTGCAGACACTATTAGAGCAGAAAAGCAATTATCTTTTGCAGCTGTTATTGACATGAGGTTATTTATTTGTTAATCAAATTTATATGGCTGTCCACCTCACAAAAGTGACTTAATTATTAAAAACATTAAAAAGTATAAAAACAGAACAGAAAAGAAAAAGAATAGGCAAAGGGATGTTAATAAAAAAAATAACCTGTCCCCTGGGTTCCCCAGGCCTGCTGACATAATCAGGTTTTGAGGGACCTTCAAAAACTTAGAAGTGATGAGGTTGATCTCATCTTTGGGGGGAAAAGGTTCCACAATGCAGAAAAGGCCCACTGCCTAGGGCCCGCCAAACACAGCTCCCTGGATGATGGAACCCGCAGCGTACCCATTCTGCTAGATCTACTGAGACAGGCAAATGAAATTGGGGAGAGGCGGTTCCTCAAATAACCCAGTCCCATGCCATGAAAGGCTTTAAAGGTCAACACCAGCACCTTGAATTGAACTCAGAAACAGAGTGGTAATCAGTGCAGCTCATGGAGCAGAAGTGTAATGTGTCCTACAAGAAACAATTGCCCACACCACCACATTCCTCACTAGCTGAAGTTTCTGGATACTTTTCAAGGGCAGTCCCATGTAGAGTGCACTACAATAGTCCAACTGGGAGGTGGCCAGGGCATGAGTGACTGTGAGTAAGGCTCCTCGGTCCAGGAATGGGCGCAACTGGCGCACAGTACAAAGTTCTGCAAAGGCCCTTCTAACCGTGACTGCCACCTGCTCATCAAAGAGCCAGGAGAAACCACACAGGCATTATCCAGTCCTAAACTAACAACCTGCTCGCTCTTCCCAGTCAGCCAACTAGTTCCTATGAATTGCTTCTGATCTGGCATGCAGATCCTTGCCACTCACCCCTGGCACCCAGGTGCCCTGAACCCCTGAGACCCTGACTTCAAGCTTCTCTGGGTTGCCCCCATTGCTGCCCATCAGCTGATGGGCAGCATCCCCAACTCTAATCTGGAGCACCTCTGCTAAACAGCTGACTGAGTGCCATAGTTACTGTATGAAGTGCCCGGTGGTATCATCTTACTAAGGAATGTAAATAAAACACAGGAGCGTGTGGCATGCAATATTGTCATTGTATAGTCTATATGTACCAGTATAGCTTTGTGAGTGCAAAACTCGTGCAAAGTGATTATTTTGAAAAATAAAGCATTTCCCCCCTAATTTAGACATTCAGTGATGCAGTATCACGTGTCTTAGCCAAAGAAATATTTCTTCTGAATGGATACTCTGTATTAAAAAATAGAGTTTTGAAGGGCTACCGTTTCTATGGCATTGCTAAAATATTTCCCAAATGAATAGCTGGACAAATTTCCAGGATCAATCAAAACTTTTAAATAGTGTTATAACTACTCCAATGACAACCTCAGAAGCAGGAATGTGCTTTTCCACTTGGAAGAGGAAAAGAGACACAATGAATCAGGACCGGTTTGATGCTTTGACAATGTTCTCACTAGAAAAACAAATGATGCAGTGCAACGAAGATTTTAATAGTGTGCCAGTCAGAAAGAAGGCTGGGCAAAAAAATACTTATTAAAAGAAGACTGACCTCCAGTGAAGTTTTGGGGTAGCTATAAGGGGAGGTGGAGGACTGCAAAAAGGTAAAATGATATCTAATGACGGGTCTTACATTTTTACATTGGAGCACACTGTAGAAGAAACTTTAGTTGTAGTTTATAGCTATAGAACTGTTGCTGCCTGTATTAGTTTATATTAAGGAATCTGTATTATAATTTACTTGGTTGTTACTGTTCTATTTTTCTTTTTTTAAAATGACACTTTGAGTCCTAGATAGAAACATGGATAAATTACATGAATAAAGAGATGACATGAAGTTGGATTGGGCTGCAATAATTTGTCTTTCCAATTCTAGACAAGTTTGGACTATGCCAGTGTACAGTACTGAATGTTAACTATATAGATATATTACTTTGCTTCTTGTTCCTTTTTCTGATACATAGCAGGCACATCTTAGTTTAGTGAATGTCAAAGTCCAAAATAATAGTCCAGAAATGCCAATTTATTATTTGGGTTACTTAAAAAAAGGTTTCTGAACTTTGCTTTAGTTTAATGATTAACAAGCTGCAAACTAGCAGATCTAAATGGTTTAAGAACAAAACAGTAATCTACACCATGTCTGGAAGACCAATTTGCATTGCTGATTTTGAACGCTATGCTAAGAAATTTCTCCAAAAATCTGTGTATGATTACTATAAGTCTGGGGCTGATGATCAACAGACATTAGCTGAAAATGTAGCTGCATTTTCAAGGTAATTAAAAATTCAAATGTATTTAATAAGTTGTAATTTAATTAAAGTAGAAATGAAAAACATTACAGTATTTGAAGTGCATTCATGATGGGACTAAGTTATACTAAAAGCAAATTGGCCATGTACAGTTTGAATGAACATTCATCTGCTTCTTTCAACTCTGGTAGGTCAGAGGATGCCATGAAACAGAATTTAATTTTTGTATGAAATATTACATTTTTGCAAGTTGTTACTCTGGAAATGGAAGAGCCTTTGAGCAAAATATTGTGTTGTGCTCTGAAAGCAGCCCTATGACTGATATGTTGCCCTTATATCTACCAAAATAACTTAATGCCTGTTTGAATGCTTGCATAGCAAATATACTTTGCAATCTGAAAGTCAGCTAATCATAAACCTCTGATAACTATCCAATTCTTAAATCAAAGGTACAATTACTAATTTAGGAGCAAAGATATCTAAAATCTGTCTAAGATCACTGGACTAGAGGATTGGAAAGTGGCTGACATAACACCATTTTTTCCAAATGGTGGGGGATTGAGAAATTATAGAATATTTATTTTTGTGTTCCTGATAAAACAGGAAAGTGTAATGGAAGATAAATTTACTGGTAAAACAAGGATGACCAAGGAAAATTTGAAGGTGGGTGAAGTCATATAATACGTCCATGATGTTGGGTTTGAGGGAAGTGTTTTACTTACTGTGATGGCTAATTTAGCCAAATGTCATGTTTTCTGTTTCAAAATGGGGGTAAACTCTTGTTTTTCAGCAATCATGTTTAAACAGAGTTGAGAGCCACATTAGAACGAGGACTCCCATGCCCTTTCAGTTGCAAAGTGCCCAGCTAGATGCAGAAAGATGAACCTTGTTGAAGAATCAACCACGTTCGCAAGCTAAATCCCACCTTTCTAACAGTTTCTGGAGATTTTAGAATGTCAACATGCATGTGGAAAGAGACATATACCATCTGAGGCTTAAAAAGAACTTTGCTTTTCATTAGCCTTATTCTGAAGGCAGATGCTGCCATGCTGAATCTGCAAATGTAGATCCAGTGGTCACAGAGTGGCAGGAGTACTCTGGCTCAGATCCGAGATAAATTTTGTTGGAACTTTCCTCCCCAGTCTTGACTGTCTTCAGGTCATATATAGATGGCAAGGCCTTCTGAACCACCTCTTCCAAAGAGGTCTCTTCTGACTGATGGTAACCATTCATGTCAACAATAGTAAATGCTCCACCAGAAAATTCAGCCCCTATTTCAGTTCTTTGAAAAAAAATACTGGTAGTTAAGTAGTTCTGTGCAAGTTCCTTAGAAATAAGCACAGAATTTCAGCTTATTATTTGCTTTCATTCACATTTCAGTGATTAGGTTGAAGTTGGGAGAGTCACAGTGCTTATACAATCTTAGCTGATGATGCCCTCTTCAAACACTGCCCAGAATATCTATAAGAACTGTACTGGGATGGCATTTCTTGACCTTCATTTAATTAAAAGCTCTACGAAGGATTAAATGGGCCAAAATAATAGTAGCTGCACTGTAATATTCATCTTACATTTCATAAAATAGTATGAATGAGATACTAAATCATCTATTACCAGAAATGAGATAGGCCTATTGGCATAATTAATGCATCTTGCTTCTGTGTTTCTTTATATCCCTTTCACACATAAAGATCAGTAATTACGTTTTAAGTTAATTAAGAGAAACAAAGATGCTGAGAGGCATGGATTATGTATGTAATTAAACAGTTTCATAACATTATTAATTTTGTCTTAAATGAAATGAGCTGGATACAGAATATGAGAGCTTTCCTTTATTCTCTCTGTTGAAGTATTGCATACCAATAATTAGTCTTGCTTCTTGAAAAGTCTTAAAAAGGTCAAGGGTCACTTGCAGTTCACCTGTAACTGGGAAAAATAATGTGATATTCAATAACTTGTTCACTTGAATCCTTCTGGTGTTTTGTGGTGTTTCTGAAATCTCGACTGATGGTTGTTGACAGCTGTTACGCATAGTTTATTCTTAATTGTTCTTGGGAATCTGCAATAGAGTCATATCTTGGCCTCAGAAGGAATAGATAGTCCGTGATATCAATGGGACAGATAGATGAACCTAAATTTAAAAAATGTATTACAACGCTATTAATATGAGCATTATTAGACAGCTTTCTAATGAATTCATATTATGATTAATATGACTAATCAGAACAGCTAGCTTTCAAATACTGCAGATAGCGGGATCATTCTAAAAGTGTTTAAAAACTGTAAGGAATTAATTTTTTCCTACTTAAAGGGAACAAATTTGGGAAGATTCTGATTGACATTTAAGAGGTGCTATCTTATGTTTGCACTAAAGTAGTAACAATTGAGGGTGGGACATAAAGATATTTTAGGCTGTGGAGGAAAAAATATAGTTTTCTTTTGGATCTTAAATTGGAAGCCAGGATAATTTATTAAAAGACCATGTCAATATGGCCTATTTAATAGGACCCCCCCCCCCAAAATGATATAACGTTCTCTGCCATCTAGTTTTGTAGTTTAAGAGCATCTCCATAAGGGATAAGTAGCAATAATCAAATGAGAAGAATTCTTGTATCCAAATCAGTCCATCCTCTTCAAGAAGAA